ATTATTATTATTATTATTATTATTTTGTTGCATATTCCCTGCCATTTTATTTGATTTTTGGATTTTATTTTATTCGTATATTTTGTATTATATGTTAAAAGCGCCACACCTAAAAGATAGAACAAACTCTCAAATTTGCAAGGAATGGGAATTATCTCCCATTATAAGGAATTGGATTTTTTTCCCATTTATCAAAATAGGATTTTCTTCCCATTATTAAGATGGGTGAATTCACCCATTGGTGCGTTTCACCCATAATGAAAATGGGAGATTCTAAAAATATTTATATTTTGATCTATATTTTTAGGAAAGAATATCTTAAGTCAAGATTAGTGACTTTTTTTTTTAAATAATGGTATAATAATTTTTTTTAATTCTCCCGTGATTTTTTTCTCCATTCTCGTAAAGAGGAAATGAAACCCCACGAAACTCCCACTGGGAGACCAATCCCCAGTGGGGGAATCGAAAAACCCCATGGGACGACCAACTTTGAATGTCTCCCCTGCATTTAATTTTAAGGGTATCGTCCTTTCAAAGGCCAGGTTTTACTTGACTCTATCTCTATCATTGACCGGTCTTTATATTTTTTCTCTAATCAATTTAAAAAAGGTAGCTGACTTTGCGAAAATTCCGGATTTGCAAACTTATTCCGGAGGCTGTTATAAGCATTTTAATGCAATATTCTTTAAAATTCAAACAATATTAATTTTTTCGGGAGATATATTGTTTTATACACTAAAAGTACAATAGTTTACCAATTATTAATAGTACTCCTCTTAGTATTATTTTGTTTGTTTTTTTATATAAATATATCTTTCGATCTTAAGGAAGTTTTCATAGAAATTTTATTATATATTGCTTGCCCTTTGTCACAACAGTTATATCAACGTTTTAATGTTACGTCTCTAATCCGTTTATTTTCTCTTAACAAATATGGTTATATACCTGATTATCAATATTCGTACATTAATTAAAGCAGTTTTGCTCTGATGAAGAAACTTAAAAGAGAAATAGGAGAATTCATGTCACAGTATTATCACTCTGCAAACAGAGAGCAGCAGATACGAATGTATCGGATAACTATCTTACTCCTGTAAAGAACATCATTCTGTCGTTTTATTCTCGGAGACGGATTTCAAATGCGCGTTACGTTACTTAACATATTAAGTGTCGTAATTTTTATTATTTCTTATTAATCAAATAAGTTTATAATAAACAGATATTATAACTCACTTATTATTTTAAATTTTTTAAATTAATTTGTGTTTTTATGCATTTTAAAATGCATTTGCAATGACAACATTAAATTGAATTAAAGCAATGTTTATAAAGCTTTAAAAAGCGAAGATATAATATGGATTATACAGCTCCTTATTTCGGTGAAATAGACGAAGGATTAGAAATTAATACAACACAGGCAGATTTTACAAAACATCATGATGATGAGCCAAGGGGTTTGGAAATTCCGCTTTACATCTATATCATTTCTTCATTGTTGAATGCGACTATATTTATGATTGGGACATTCGGAAATATTCTAGTAATTGTAGTAGTTCTAAAAGTGAGAAATATGCGCACACCAACAAATGTATTCTTACTAAATCTAAGCGCAGCTGATGTTCTAGTATTGCTTGTTTGTCAGCCAGCTGGGCTGCTGGAGTTTTTCGGGAAGGAAAGATGGTTTCTTGGAAAAATCATGTGTAAGTCGTTTAACAGCAAACATAATTATATTCAATGTTAAAGTTTTTTTCAATATATAAATTTGATGTGACAATTATTTTCGTCGTTATAGAACAAAAAACGTCGTAGTTTTTCTAGTCATTTATTCTTTATTTAATTTCCTGTATGTCTTGAAAATGATAATACATAAAACAATCATTTTAATTCTATTATAAAAATTCCCATATATTGTTTAATTAATCTAAATGACGCTGCTAATCTATAAAAGAAAAGTGATTTGCCAAATCATCGTGCCATTAATCATTCTGTGAATGCATCATATCATAATTATTTGTTTTTGTGATTATAAAGCAGATCTCTTCTCGTGATCGTTGCACGAATAATCATGTCTTATAGCTGACTTTCTTTTGAAACTTACTCTTTTTATATTGACTTTGTTCACGGTTTAATTTACCGCGCATTTCTTTAAAAGGTCTTTTTCCCGTCATAGTAAAATATAAATGAAAAAATATCTAATACAAAAAGATAAAAACAATATGTTCTTTTCATGATTACTAATTTCAAAGGCAAATTCGATTTGATCTGGGCTGTTGATTAGCGACATTGACTTCATTTGTTGTTCTTTTTCATATTTTGTGACCGTTAAATTGTTCATGACTTAATTGTTAATGATATTTTAATGATGAAATATTGCTTATGCTGTTTCCAATGGCCATAAGTGATGTCGCACCTTTCATTGTTTTTGAAAGTAGTCCCGATAAGTCGAAACTGCGATTTTCGCCGAATCATTTTTGTTTTATTTGCTCTCGATGAATCTCGAATTTCAAGATTTCTTTTATATTACTCGTTTCAAAAGAATAATTCCTCGCTTTATCAGATGAGACACTAAATGTACGAATAACAATATGTCTTTGATTTACACATTTCAAACGTTATGAAAAGCATTGTGTCATATCAATGTAACATCAATTTCTGCAAATACATTTTGTTAATATTAATTCGAAACGATAAAATCGTATTTTCCTAGACATTTCAGAAAAATAATTAATTTAGGATATGCTTTTAACACATATTTTAATATAAAACACACATTTAGGTTGTAATTCAAAATAATCAGCTTTTTTATGAGAAAGGGGCTTAAAATTTTTCCAAAATGTCAAAATTTTTTTTAATGAGAAAAAAAAACGGATAAAAATGGTTTAAAGAAAATTTTTTAAGTAAATAACTACTGAGTAAATTTTTCAGTAAAGAAGACTTCAAGTACCGACTCAATTAAACCGAGTCTGCAATTGTCATATAATTTTGTTGTGATTCATGCTTCCGAGGGATCACACCATAATCAGATTTGGAAAGGACATAAATAAGAATGAGGCCTGGTATCAACTCTTAATTATCAGGAATTTTTGTGTAAACTTATCTCAAGGACTTTGATATTGACTGTAATAATTTATTTTCAGGCAAACTTGTTCCGTTGATGGAGAATGGTGTACTGCATGTTTCTATTCTCACGATGCTTGCTGTGACATTTGAGCGTTATAATGCGTTATGTCACCCATTCAAACATCGGATGGCATCAACAATTTCCGCTACCGTGAAGACAATCATAGGAATTTGGATAATCGGAACAATTCTTACACTACCATTCTTGATAATGACAGAACATGAGGACGCCATTTTTTATGATGGTTCCCCAATCAAAGTTTGCCGGACAAAAGTAAACGGAATGTGGCGCTATTGTTACACAATTTTCTTATTCATTGCGTTTTTCGTATTACCATTCTTCATTTTGATTGGCTTTTATGCTCGTATCATTAAACAGCTCATGTCAGATAAGTTGAAATCTCTAGCACAGAATGACCGAACAGCGGTAAATGCATTACGATCCAGACGCCAAGTTGTTCAAATGCTTATATTTATTATTGTTTTATTTTTCGTATCACTTTTTCCTATAAGAGTGCTTTCTCTCTGGCTTATTTTCACACCTACAAAGAACGCCATAAAAATAGGTCTAGAAGCTTACTTAAACCTTATATCTTGGGCAAGAATTCTGATGTATATCAACAGTGCCGGAAACCCAATCATCTATAGTTTGACTTCAACAAAATTTAAAACTGCTTTCAAAAGGGTACTAGGTCGCAACCGACGGTATCCGCAGTATGGCGTCGCGTCAACAAAGTATAGCTTCAAGCAGAACAAAGACGGAACCGGCAATTTAGTTTCTACTCCTTTATCACGTTTAAGTGGTACTCGCCTATCTTCAGTTAGATCGAAAGTTTCTGGAAAATCTCCCACGTCAAGCTCACGGGACCCAAAAGACAATTCTGATTTTGATTAGGCTAGGTAAGAATTGACAAAGTACTTTCAACTCAAGTTTAATTTGGTTTTATATTTATTTTAAGATATTGTCAATAAAGCTGACTGTTAAACCTTTTTTGAAATAAGATACTTTATAAGATCTAGGATAATGATTATGTTTGTTCTTGTAATATTAGTGAGTTTGGAGATCTATGAAGAAATTGTATTGTTTGAAATCGTCACAGATTTGTTGTCATATTTGTTAATATAATTACTCTTTGTTTTATGTAAAATGTACAATTAAAATGTTTCAATAAATACATTTCAAAAATTGCGACAACAACCTCTGCAGCCTATAGATTAATGTTACTACCATGTTATATTGTACAAAGTCTCTGCTGATGAAGTTTCACACACGCACAAAAAAGATTTATATGATTTATTAATCTTTTTACCGACAAGTAAAAGTGTCGGTATAATTGATAAAACATGCCCGATTAATATTTCTTTCTTAATACTGTATATTTACATTGCAGCTTTTGCCATCAATTATTCCATTTTTCCAAACTATTCCAGACAGAGGGCGAGTGCCATTCGAAATCAGACATATACATGGTCGTAGCACAACTTGCATTTGTACCTGACAAATCATAACGTCGATACAGTAATAATAAATAATAATAATACTCCTTTACAAATGATACAAATAATGAGTGCAAATGTTGAGATAAAAGAAAAAGTAATCAGCCAGAAGTGAAAGGTTTAGGTATAATGTCTCCACATCAAGTTCAGAGGTAGAATTTAGAAAAAGAACAAGAAAAATAAATAAATAAATAAAATAAAAAAACACTGCTCAGAAATGTGTACACATGCACAGTCTGAAAACATAACTTTGTAGAATATTTCATCTATAAAAATGTTTCTTTACCTTTCATATCGATAAATTTAAACTAACAATTTCTTAGACAGGGAAGGCAATTCAACTTTTGCACGGAAGTATCAACATCTTCAACTAAAAGCAAATGTTAATTGGCTATTTTTTATCTACCATTAATTTACTCGAATAAGTTGTATCTAGGACATTTCTCCCGAAACAGAGAAACACATAATTATTTAACAAGTTTCTCTCCAAAAGAATCTGATTGTTTTGGTAAAGAATAAAATGTTCTCAATTGCATAGACTTAGTCTCCAAGAATATCTATAAAAGTGCATTGTGTAAGTAAATCACCATCTTTGTGAACAGAAATAAAATATCCTTTAAATCCGAATAAAACTTGGTCAACCTTTGACTATGATCACGTCAACCAGTGGCCTAATACCATTTTAGTACTTTCATAAGTAAGTCAAAAGGCAAATTGTATTTTGGTATGAATTATTGTCTTGTTTTTGATTTGGATCAATGGGAAAAATATAAAATTGGTGCAAACACACACATTAGACATTGTCATAATTATAATCGCACGGAAGCGTATATTGTTCTCCTTTTGCAAGGTTTTCATGTGGATTTAATGGTTATAGGCGTTAACTAATGTTTGAAATGCATTTTTATTTTTAAATTTGTGACACAATCATTGGAGAAAAAGGTCCAATTTTTATCGCATTTGTCTTTTCAGAATCAACAATTAAGCCCATTTAGAACTTTAAAACATTTGATCGAGAATTTCAATTGCTGGTGAAAATAACTTATGACTAAAGAGAAATAATTGTCTTGTGAAACTAGAGAGGATGCAAAGATGTAAAATGTCCTAGTTTTGCAATTGGAAACACACAAGACGGAAAATAAAATTATACCAGTATTGCTAACCTGAGAAAATGAAAAGGTAGGCTATAAACAACCATTGTGTTATTTGTGTTAATAAAGAGAGCACCAGGACCTGTTTGCTTTGTAACTATAATGTAATGTATATTAAAGGAAAGTATTAGCAATGGTACATAACAAAGACATAACGTTCTGTTTCTAAAAGATATGTTCCTACTAAAACTAAGTTTTTGTAATAAAAATGACTTCAAGGTGGCGTCAACTTTGATCAACATGGACAAATCTAAATACCTTTTGTAGAGGACAATACGAATTGCTTCATCTTGAAAAGATAGAGTCTAGGTCTTGTAACAATTTTCTAACACGGCTCTAAAAGATTTGATCTATAAAATATAATTTGAGATCATTTGTTCTTTTTATACGCCAGACAAAAATAAGTTAAATTTGAAAAAAGTACTCCCTTAGAAATCTATTTTAATTTGAAATAAGCAATATTTGTTTAGTGCTCTTTTTATGAAATATGCTTGAAGGCATTGTAGATGACGGGCCTCTGTCGACAGACTTTGTATCACGACAAACAATTCTGCTGCACGAAGTACTACTAATCTTCCTCAAGTTTTGACGCACAATACTGTAGACAGACATTATACAATTCAATAAGCTTACTCATGAGCTCATCGTATTCTGGTGAGCACCATGAAATAACACGTTTTTCCGTATTATTGTTCTTCTTTTCGTTATTCTCTGATATATTTTTAGATATATTTTTTGATTTATCTTCTGTCGCCATTTAAACAAGTTGTTTTATTTTTAGAATTTATTTTACATCCCTCATGGGTAAACGACGAGTGGTAAATAGCTTTAAGAGATGTCATCATAATGTCACAGACATGTCCAGTTGACATAAAAGAAAAGTATAAAGTAACAGTTAGTCGATTCCTAAAAAGAAAAGAGAACAAAGAAACCAGTGGCAATTGATATAGCAATTTTTCAAGACATATATTGCACACAATCATTCTTGTTGAAATTTAAATGTCAAAACTAATGTTCTCATTTTTATAATGTTCAATCAATTTCCATTTTTGTTCTCCAATTAATGCTTTCCGCTGCTTTTGTCATTTTTGCTAAGACTTTTTGCTGCTAATGATTCATTTAAGTTAACGTTAACATGTTCAAAATCATCTTCCATTTTTCTAAACATTTACATTTGATATTTACATAACTGCATTTTACATGTACTCATTAAGACTCATAACAGTGTGTATAAATGTCAAAATTGAGTCTGTGTTCATCAAATATATTTATCACTTAGTTAATTTTCTTTTACTTACATATCGTACTATTAAAATTCTTTTGCAGTGCGAATCAAATTAATTGACAGCATTCTGACCTTTTTCGCTATATAAATTTATTACATGTATTATTAAATATCTTACATGATTAAAGGTTTCTTGATAAAACACAAATAATCTTTATTACTGTTCAATTTTTGTATTTATTGTTTTAATTTGTGTGTTGTTTGGCAACGGTTTTTTTTCAGTATCTCCTAATAACAATATGTATAAAATGAAATGATGTAACCTAAACTCGTGATGACACGTAGACAAAATGACTTGTAATATATTGAGAATGTGTAAAATTTCATATTAGGAACACTTTTGAGTTTTATGACAATAATCGACTTGTATTATACTAAGACAAAAATGTCAATATCTTTTAATTGTATTTTACTTTTAAACAAAAATTACCATAAATATAACGTTGACTATCCTAAATTGTTGGCTATTAATTTCATGCCACGTCAATCCTTTTTAACAAAGTATGTTTAAGTTTCCATTTATTTGAATGGTTTCCTTGTGAAATTAAATTCCCGCAATTATTCGCGAAATTGCTGACTTCCTGTTCACTTGGAATATTATATTTTTAAAGACACTTTTCAGGCTTGTTTTTTTTTAAATTTATTTGGAGACATTATTGTATTTAAAAAGAAATGTAATTTTCCGTATAAAATGTTATAAAACGATATATTGTAGTTTTTCATTGTAAGCAAGGCAGAAATTAGTCGTTTGTGAAACATTTGTAATTTTAGCTAACATTGTAGCCGTTCGTCATTCTTAGTAAGGTTGAAAACAGTTTTAACTTCATCTTTGTCAAACATATTAGCCAGAATTTTATACCTTTAAAGTTTTAGACGGTGAGCAAGCTATCTTGTTGAGTAAGATTCTTCACAGGAGAAACATTACCCTTGGTAACTTGGTAACATCAGATTGGGGTTGACCGACACAGAAGTAATAGTTTTACGTCAATATTAAACGTCTTTAACATTTTATGTCTTATTCTTTAAATTTGAAAGTTTAGACACAACAAAAATCCGATAAAATCTTTCATATATTCAAGTCAAATAACACAATTAATTCCTTTTCCGCATTGCCCACAGTAACAACAGCTGAACCAGTAACTTTAGTACTTTGATTTCAAGTAACAACTTATGTATCAAATGTCGTGGTTATACTGAACTGTATTTACAAGAACATTCTACCAAGATTGAGTGACAATTGTTAGATAGTATATTTTTTCACTCCTTTTTAGACATTTAGAAACTTCATATATAAAAAAAAATATGTAAAATTTTGCAAACGTTCTAAAAAGAGAATATCCATCGAAAAGATTAAGAAGCAGAAATCGCAAACACGGTTAGTGTGAAGTGTAACATACCTAAGTCTCTATCACTAGCTAGAAATGACAACATTTTCAAGATACATAAGACAGAAACGTGCCGGATAATAAAAGTGACTGAGTCTCCCTAAACCCCGCACAAATCAAATCCCTTGCAAGCAGGCAATTTTCATATGTATCATGCTGCGGTCCTCGTCGGTGGTCAAGGATTTCTGTCTAGAGATGCTTTCGTTGAATACTGGTTGATCCTTGTTTTCATATCTTAATTCAGTTTCTTCCTTTATTATATTGACAAGTATAATAACGATAAAAGTCCACATCGAAAGACCCTTTTGTTTCGTACACGATTCGATATTTAATATGCGTACACGATTCGATATTTAATATGAGAAGTTGTTTCTCACAAGTTGTAAACATACTTATTTTAAATACAAAAGGCAAAATCCAAACCCAATCCTAAAGTAGGCTAGCAATAGAACGGTTGTTTTGTTATAAAATTAAAAAGAAAATTAAACAGAGTTTTCAAAATATTAATTCAAATGTTTCGACAGCACGACAGCCCCTCCTTGTTTTGACAAATTAGGAAATAATTAGTTCATTTATT